AAAAAAGTCTGATTCTAAATGAATTTTTAAACACTTTTTACTTTGTTTTGATTATATTAATTATTGGCTTTACAGTCTACATTTCAAACTAATCTATTCCACAAGTTGCTGAGTTGACATATTCCCAAACCACAGCATTTTTGAACCTAATTACCTTTTTTATTCTGCATCAGCATGTTTGCGCCGGGAGTCAAAACTCTGTTCAAACTCTCTGTAACAGCCACTTCAAGACATGACTCAGCCTTTTTAATGTGCTGGTATCTCTCTTTGAACACAGATAATAAGAGAGTAGCCCAAGAGGTGATCACACCAACACCTGCATCTGCCGCAGACCTGGACAACAGTGTTGCATACAAAGGTATTGTACAACTCACCCCTAAATGTTCTAATATATAACCGCTGTAATCATTCAGTTGCAAATTAGTTGACTGAGAGTTTAAATGCTGCATTGCATATAATTTAGTGTTTCTTTGATGAAAAATAAAACAATAACTGAGACAGTAATTAATGTACATATAATAACATTATAATTTGGACTTGTCTGTATTGGTTTTGTTTGCAATTACTTGTTTAAATTTAAGATAAACAAATATGGCAAACGATCTGCTATCTATTCATTTATGTATCTCCAATTTCAACAGAGCAAACCAGTCTGTAGCATTTGACTTTTGACCAGTCAGGAGCATTTTGACTTTTCATATCCTGTATATTTTGTCATGACATTAGGTAGGCTCAGTATTATTGTTTATAGACCCCTGCTAAGGTAATAAGGGCCTTTCAGAGCAGGGCCTGAATGGAGTTTGCACCACAGGATCTATAAAGTTTTGTATACCTTAACCAATGGACTAGATTATAATCTTGATACAATCTTAACAAACTCGATACATTTGCCGTTATACTTCTCTCATTATTAATGTTATCACAGACATAGCTTGAATCGCACTGTGCACAAAGGCTGAGAATCCAGCTAAGGAACTTCTTTATGTGTGCTGATTCCAATTTTTATCCTTTAAAAAGACACAACAGTGAACCCAATTCCCGAGAAGGAGACAGCGCTTCCTTTTGCTGACACAGAGTGTAATACCACTTAATGCAGGTTCAGCAGCTGTAGACCTCAAGTGCCATGTCTAAAGCCAGCTTCAACTCTGCCACTCCTCCTCTGCTCACGTTGGCATTCTGAAGGCAGCGGGCTCTGCTGAAGGAGAAACTCACACAAGAGGAATCCAGCATTTATACAACCTTTTATAGGGGGAATTTTATGTTTAAAGAAGGCCTCCGTCTGTCTACTGCTCCTGGCTTTTCAGAGCTGCTGTGAATTAGAGAGAGTTTCCTGGAAAGTAAAGGACTTAGTCAAGTGCTCGCTTCTTTACTTCTCAGTTTTGATCTCATCAGATCTCATAAGCTGAGCAGGATGGGGCCTGGGTAGTGCTTGAATGGGAGACCGCTGGGAATAACAGGTCCCAAAGTGAGACAATGAGTTTGAGAAATTGACCTTTAAAGTGCAAATTGTCTTTGCTGCATGGTGGCGTAGTGGTTAGCTGTTGTGCTTCACAGCAAGAAGGTCCTGAGTTCAATTCCACCAGGCCTTTCAGTGTGGAGTTTGCATGTTCTCCCTGTGTCTGCCCTGCTTTCCCCTACCACTAAACCATGTACAATAGGTCTGGCATGTGCCTCCTGCATGACGACCCTGCTCCCATCTCTGTGTGGAGGGAGAGACAAATGTCCAAATAAAGATTACTTACCGTCTTTAGTTAGTGTTCTTATAAACAACAAATGCAACTCCTTTTTGCATTTGTACCTTGTTATGTGTGTTATGAAGATACATTGATTGATTGTTTATTTCGAGTTCAATGTAAACTTCATTGTCAGTTGTAGAATGGGAGGAAGAAAACCTTATAAATCCCCATAATCCCCCTGTATGTAAACAAATTTGCAACAGCATGATGACAATGATCCCAAAGTTGAAACACTTTCCAGAAGAAATCTTTTTTAAATGATTAAACAGTTATAAAGTAATAATGATAATGATAATGCATTATAATTTACATACAGTAAATTGTATAAGTGACCCTTATAAAGACACATTCACTCACTCAGACAGGCCGAGCTCTGGAGTAAGTGTTTCGACTGAAGAAGAATTATTAGGCTTTCCGAGAGAACTTAAACATGTGTGTGTTTACAGCAGCTGATGTACTTGTATTAACCTTTATCGAACCAGGTTCATGCCGATCTGAAAGCTTTCCAGGAGTCCTAATTTAGGACACTTAGAGTTGCAATACGAATGCAACGTGTAACAAATGAATCAGGAAGTTGACAAAAGTGGATGATGAAAGAAAGGATCATTGATACATGATAATTGTCTTCATTGCTGTAAATGCAATGTTCAACTGCAGATACTGTAATATACCAAATATGAAGGTTTATCATACTGTGTAAACAGTTGAAAAACGGAGGTGGCCATGGTTCTGTGACAGGTGAGAAATGTCAACAATCCAGTTGCAGAGAACAAAAGACGCAATTGTGTTTGGATATAAATGTTTGTACAGTTTTTATTGACGAATATATTATTTTAGATTAAAGAAAAATCTACTTACCATCTTTATGAATCTTTACCTGTTGGTTATGATACTAACTATAGCATAAAATAGTATACAATTAAAGTGTTGGCACCGTTTCCAGTGCATCCCACTGCATATGTGGCAGTGCTGCAAAGACGTGCTCTTTTCTGAACCATCTGTTTGTGGAGGAACTGCTGCTGCAGATGCTTTGGGCTTGTGAGCATTTAGCAGGAATAGTTTAAATCACCAGGCTCATATTGGGCTGTGTCCACCTGCTGTTATGTACCGGCCAAAATGTGTGCCGAGTGGAAAGTCCAACGACAAGCCACTTTCCTGTCCATACCCTGTTCGAGTCGTGCTGTGAGGGAAGCTGCAGAGGAAAAAAAACAATTTAGTAACACTGGATCACAAGTGGGGCTTAATATTTTTGTGAACTGAAACGGAAAACAAAACAAACACATTTTGTTGGGAAAATGGGGCTAGAAATTGAAATGTGATTTTTTTGGCTGAAAGAATTTCAGAGCAAAAACTAAATGAAATTATTCTAAACCAAAAAATCTGACTGCATCAGCTTTGATTCAATGCTTAATGTTGACACCCTATTTGCATAACCATCTTCCTGGTGGTTGAACCAGTTTCATTAATTAGCAGCATCCATGTGTATAATACAGTCAAGAAGGCTACATGGCATACAGAACCAGCTTTCTCTACTTTTCCTACTGTCATTATTACTGCTCTATGAGGTGTGAGTGGGTTCACAGCTCACACATGTCTGAGTAATGAAAATGAGGTTCAAAATTGATATGTGAATTTTGGCTCTTTGAAAAAAGCAAAAAGTAAATGAAATGGTTGTTCTTCAGACTCACATTATGTCTAATCTTTTAGATGACAGATGACAATAGATAAATCATGTTTTTTCCATGTCAAGATAGTACCGTGATGGATGTGCCTTCATGTGAACATATATTTTGAGGATTCTACAAGTTTTGGCATTTAGACTAATATTGTCAAAACAATACAATACAAATCCTGTCATCGAGCAGATTTTAGAATATTAGTTATTTGAATGTAGTGCATATTCTTATGTGTCACCATATTTCTTTAACCTTTCCTTATATCGTTTGGATTCATAAACATAATCAATCAATCAATTATTACACACACAAATGCAACCCAAATCATTCTAATCTTTAACCCATCCTAATATCTTTTCCCACATCACGTCTATTCCTATCTTTTTTAATAAAAACAACAAGCCAACCAACATGTTCACGCACATACATTCTTGATAACATTGCCCACACCTCTCACACAGCACAAAGAGAAGAAAAGGAAAAAGAAAAGCGTAGTGATTTCCAAACGCGTTGCTTAAATGTCCCCAGTAGATGGCGCTCTTACCCTCACGCAACAACTGCACACGCCACACAACATGGAGCCTCTCCCGTCTCCCCACCTTTACAAAACAAGTGTCTTACCTTTCTCCCAAGTGCGTTTAATTACGGTGTCACAGACTTTGCACTGGCTTATTGTACTATAGGACGTAGGCTAATATTGTCGAAATTACATTTTGGTATTCACTTAAATGTCAAGTAATTTCCCAGCGGGATGCGAGGGGGTCAGGAGGTGATCGATTTATGTCCGAGAAAGATAAAGTAGAAACGGGCTGCTGATCCACAGGGTAAAGCTGGAGGATCATTAAAATATGATGGCTCTTCTTTTTTTTTTTATTCTCTCAAACCAAAACACCATGAATGAATTGAGACAAAACAGCCTGCACTGGTTTCTGTCTGAGAGCGAAACTATAAGCTGCCTCATAAAACTAAAATAAATATAGCTGGGATACGTCTACTTTATGTCATTCCTGTGATATTCCCCAAAAGAATGGCTCCTCTGCTGTGGTTTGTGCTGCTGAATCACAGGAGTCTGGCCTGGCCCCCACAGCCGCTCAGACTGAACTGAAGAGACGGTGGTGAGAGGGAGGAGAGGCAAGCGCGCTCCAGTCCTTGTGCGTGCGCCTCATCCAACCAGCGCCAGAGCTCCTTTCAAACCAAACCCAAGCAAAGTGACGGAGCCCGGACCCCTTTTTTTTTTTTTGCACTTTGAATCTGCACATCCTTCATGGCTCTTCTTTTCTGCTGGAGAAAGGAGTGAGCGGTGAACAGATGAATCCCGCCGAGTTGCGCGCTTTCGAAAGTGAGGAGTTCTCAACGGGACGTGAAGACGACTGGACTATTTCCACTCGTAAAGATGTTTTTAAGTGATCTAAACTTTATGGCGAAACTGAAGCGGTTCCATTGACTATCTTGGACATTCTTCTGCTGTGCGTAATCCCCATGTTAGTTAGATACATCGCTCTTTTACTTTTACCTGAGTTGACAGAATCTTAACTCAAGCGAAGAGAGAAAAAGCCTTCCGAGTGGATTTAACAGCGTCGCTTTCCAAATGATGCCTGTCCGTTTCAGTTGGATTTACTGTCTGGTGGCATTTCTGCACTTTTCTTCAGGTAACAAAACCTTTTAGATGCATTATTTACGTTTAGTTAAAATGTCTCAAACGTATAGTAGGAGCATTCTGAAGGTATTGAGTTAATATCTGCGGGTATTTCGGTCACCTCTGTTCCCAGCAGTATCAGTATGCGGCCCCTGACCCCACGCTGCTTTCTGTGGAGTGACCAAACTATCTATGTCCCAGTGCAATGAAGCAGTCACAATATTATATATTGAGGACAGATGCGCTGCGAAAGCATGATGCTCAAGGCGATAACTCCTTCAATATGACTCTTTTTGTGCCCTTACATTCTCTCCATAATGACAAATGGAACAATATTCAGCAAATCACAAGATTCTACTTGCTTTCAGGCACAGGTAGAGGAGTTTAGATGTTTATATCTTCTTATGTATATATATTTTAAACCATTAAACCTGACTGCATCGGCATTAATTCCATGCTTAAAGTTAAAATGACACCTTCATTCATTTGCACAATCATTTTCCTGGTGATTGGTTAAAACAGTTGCATTAATTAGCAGCATCCATGTTTGTATTTCAGTGGCTACATGGCATACATTAGCTTACTGTACTTTCCCTATATACTATTATTATTTCTACTCCACTTCTATCAGTCTGAAAAGGTCCACTGCGCACACACGTCTGGGTAATGAGGACTATAGAGACTTCACTTGGACCATGCCTCCTTGCACCATATTTGTAAGGGGTTGCGCTTTTTCATTTCACTGGAAAAAATAAATGGCTTGGTGGTTGTGTTGCATGCTCAGCCCATTTTCCTCCTGTAGATGTGTCCTTCTTCTTGGCTTTGACTTGAGTAATTTAACAGTGTTTGGACAATTCTCACCCTTGACCTTATTTCTTAAAGCACACATAATAACGGAGGTGGGAGAAGAGAGAAGACCAGGGCAGGTCTTGCTAACAGTGCTGACAGTGTAGGCAGCTCTCACCTGGCCTGTACTGCCTTCACACGGCTAATATTAGCCCCTCAGTTGGGGTCAGTCAGCAGAATACACGTGCATAAAACACTGTCATTGATACACAGCAGGGATAATGATAATACTGCATTAGGGTTGTAACAATCAATCACTACTAATTACATATTTTTTTCAATAATCAACAACTATTTTGACAATCAATTTATCATTAACTCCTCCTGCTTCAACTCATGCATATGCAGAGAAATTTGATTTTAACACAGTGATAACTATAGATATATATAAAAATAATAAACAGGAATTGTGTAAATGTCACATTCGTAAATTCCTAAAGGGATCTATTAGTAGGACACTGGTAGCTGAACTTCTACTTTGTTTTTGAAAAAATTGGGGTGAAATACCATATTTGGGTTCTAAACAACTAATTGGTTTATCAAATCAACAGGTCTATTGATTTTGTAGTATTTGTATCTGCATTTCGTGATATTTTTCATGTTTGGCCTCTATAGCACTTACAGCCAGTACAAATCTATGGCTGCTGAACTGATGGCTTCACCAGCTGCGTGTTTTATAGTCTCCTTGATGTTAGCTGAGGTGGGCTAGTGTTCACATATGGACATAGTAAATTATCTAATTCTGTTTAACAAGAGGCTGAAACTCAATAGGACTGTTTGGAGTGACATCTGACACTCTTTTCCCAGAAAATTGCTTCTCAGCTACATTTCAAAACAAAGATCAATTGTTGAACTTTATTTTTTGTTTGAGGTTGTGGGGTTATATTCATTAAGTTTTTTTAAGTTCGAATCCTGTTCAAAGTTTGAAATGAATTAAAATATTACTTAAATTCAATGGTTGTTGATGAGACCAAAGTGCTGCTTTTACAAAGAAACAGAGAAACAACATAGGGAAAATGTTGGGAAAGAACAATAGAATAACAATCTATTGATCTTTTGAAAGGTATATTTTGAATTGAGGCTTAAAAACATTTACAGAAATTTATTCCAAAGATGAAGACCAGCAACTGAAAAGTCTTGCTCACATTAATCAGTTTCCCTGAGCTTAAGATGTATCACATGTTGTCTATTGTAAATATAACAAAACATTGTCATTTAATTGTGTAAATAGTAACATAGTAAAATGTGTATTAGGGATATTTAGAGATATACAGTAAGTTAGGGATATTTGGCTTTTGGGTGAAATACTGTATATGGAACATGGAGTGGTAGTGGTGATGCATATGTACGAAAGACAACACAAAATCCACTATACAAGAAACATAAACCACAATTAGGGCTGGGCAATAAATCAAATTTAAGCCATTAATCGGCTTTTGAAAAAATCAAATTTGTGAAAAATATTAACATCGTGAAATCGAATGAAGGATATTGTGAGTTCCAGCAGCACAAGAATTACACTTGCAATATCAGCACAGTCTGTACAAGACTTTTATAATATGCATTGGGGGAAACAAATTAGAAATAGTTTTGATACTTGAATATTGAGCAGAAAAATCAAATCATATTTTTAAGGACAATGGCGACTTTAATGAAAATCGATTAAAAATCCAAATTGTTCAAAGCTAGAAGTGAAATCAAGATTTTACTTTTTTGCCATATCACCCAGCCCTAACCACAACACAACTTTTCCAAACGGGTCCAACCCCATTCACTCACTAAAACAAGTTTATGTGACAATGATATCAGATCAATAATTCTCATCTCAAACTATGTCTATAAAATAAATCAACAACAGGAGTAGGTATAGGCCGCTCTATATCAAAGCCTTGGAATGAAAGATCCAGTTTCAAAATTTGTGATTGAACCAAGAAATCCATGGGTAAATAAGTTTAAAAAAGGAATGGTTGATCTATAGTGCATTTAAGGATCATCCTAAAATTTCACCAGAAAGTGGAATATCCTTAACCTTTAGTGAGTAGTGTGTCCTGCAGCCAACAGGGTCAGCAGTGTGCCATTACGAGTAGAACAGTATATTATAGAGCATGCCTTAAACAGGTCTTAAAAAGTGATCTTATCGTAATCCCATCTCGGTGCAAGGTTTTTTTTTTTTTAACCAAACATATGACGTTATCAAAGCTACTATCCATTTGCCTGTCCTTGAACTTCATCCAGGGTTTTATAAACATACATTATCCTCTTGCATTCTGTCAGACGCCACACTCCAGCCTAAAAGCAGCATAAGCACCCTTGTTTTGGAGAAACTCAGCTAAATCCTTACGCACACAAAGACTTCAGTTTTTACGATGACTGGCTGATGGTTTAATCTTGGCATGATTATTTCAGCATGGGTAATAGCATGATTCATAATACTTTAAATGCGGGCGGAGAAATGAAATGGCTTCATTCCTGTCATCTCGCTGATTCTTGTGCTTGCCTTGTTGCTTTGCTTTTCTATTTTGGAACAAAGAATTGAGCTTTATTAGCCACCATTTTCTTCTTTGTTATTCAGGATTTGAGTTATGGTGCATGTTACAGAAAAAGCAAATAATCTAGGGATGCACTAATCCATTTTTTTTAAAGTCCAATCCGAGCCTAATACTCTGGCTTCATTATGAGCAGACACTCGATATGAACCGGTATCAGTGAACGGACTGACTATAGCACATTTCTTCTAGGCAAGGCAAGTTTATTTGTATTGCACAATTCATGCACAAGGCAACTCAAAGTGCTGAACAAAACAAGATAGCATTAAAATATCATCATAAATATTCCCAGTACATTAAAAAGAAAGATGAAAATAAAAAAAATCCTCATCTGCATGCACAGCTAAACAGAACTATCTTTATTTTTAGCATTTTTCTCCACTCAAATCACAACTATATGGAATTCTGGGTGAATATTAGACATGTAAACACACATCAGGGTCTGGTCTCCTGCTGGTGCCCAGGGTCAGGACTTGACATGGGGAGGTAGAGTTTCAGATGTATGCAGCTAAAATCTGGAACAGTCTTCCTGAAAACGACGTCTACTCAAATCCAGGTTAAAAACAACAAAAATGGACTTTATCTTTACTCTTTTTAATGCGCTGTGGCAATAGTTCTGATTTTTATTTTAATGTTTTAAGGTTTTTAATTTCTTGTGTGATTTTATTTTCTAAGTTTTGAATATCCTGTGAGATTTTCATTGTATATTTTAATGCTTATGTAGATTTTAATGTTTGATAAATGTTATTTTCCTGATGTGATTTGGGTTTTGGAGGCGCTTTGTGTTGCCGCGTGTAGGAAAGATCTCCAAATAAAAGTTGATCGATTGAAAATACCATTATCTTCTAACCGATATCGTGTCGGTGCATCCCTAATAGCCACACAGGATTTGTTAGTATCACCACGACTTGAATTCTTGTTTCCCCGTATACTGTACACCCGACTGGTTTGCTGATGCTGAAGTCTTGCAGGGGTCATCGCTCACTTGTACGTATGCACCCTTCCAAGTTGACAGTTGTGACCCATAACTGCTTCCAGCACTTGTAAAGGAAGCCTGGGCTTTCAATAATAATGGCTTGATTGGGAGTAGCTGGCCCGCTGTGCTATTGGCTGAACTAACTAGCCTCCCTGCGGTCTTGCTGATGTGACAGTGACGACTTTAGTTCTACTGCTAATGAGGAGGTTCCTATGGGTAAAGTCGACACTCAGACCGCTTTGAACGTTGGCGAGTGTTTCTTGGCCTAGCACCTTTTGTCTCAGTGTATTGAAATATTGTGGCTAATAGGCTTCACTCAAAGTCGCACGCATTGTGGGACTCAAAAAAACATCTCCAGTAAATCTTGTTTACATCAGTGTATGCATAATCCGGTTTCTGTGAGTGCTCTTTAGATTCTCGCTGTAGATTCTGTAATTATGATATGAATCGTGTACAGTATGTGGCATTTCAGTTCCGCACACACTGCAAAGAGTGATTAACAAAAAGATTAAAAACAAATCCTCAAATTTGGCAAAATGTAAATTTATGTGTGTACATTTTGACTGCCTTAAAACAAGATTTGTAAATGTGACAAGGAAATGATCTTGTTATAAAAAAGATTCAAGAAATGTCTGCCTTGGAATG